CATGAGTGGAGAGTTGTGAGGTGCTGGCACAGAGAGGCATTAGATGTCACAGTTCTCCCAATGGTCATTAAGACTTGTATTTAATTTCTTAATGCTGCCCTGACGAGGTCTGATGCAAATTCACAGGGTCATATGGTGGCTAGTGATGGATAATCTCAAACTAATAGAAATCTGAAGTATGTCCATGCATGTTAATATTTCATACATTATAGGAAAAAAAGGTTGTCAAGCATTGGAACAGGCTGCCCTATAAGTATTTAAAAGACATGCAGGTGTGGCACTTAGGGACATGGTTTAGTGGAGTACTTGGTAGTGCTGGGTTAACGGTTGGACTTGATGATCCTGAAAGTCTTTTCCAACCTAAATGATGCTGTGATTCTATGATTTGAAATGTGATGTTATCCAAAGCTGATCTGGGAGAATGGGAAATACTGGATTAATTTCATTTTGCTGTTCTGTATCAGTAAGATGAAATAATGAATAAGATGAACAATAGAAGAAATCTTTCTCCCACTTAATGTAAAAGAGCTACTGGGAATAGTGAAAAATTCTAAAAAAGACAAATATCTATTTAAAAAAGAGAAATATATGAGGGGATTTTTTTTGTTTGTTTGTTTTACTGAATTCTTTTAGTTTTATATGGAATAACAGAAAATTAAATTAAGAAAAAATAACTAAAGTTTTGGATCCAGTTTTCTAAAGGATGTGGGCTTGACACCTGAGAGGACAATCATCATGTACACAGTGACCCTATCAGGAAGATGAAAGAAGCATTGCTGCAAAGAAACAGAGGACAGCAGTGGGAACATGTCTCTTAGATAACCACAATACCAGAAGAAGAAAGCAGCTACAGAAGGAATAGAACCTCAACCCACAAGATAAACTGTACTAGCCATGCAACAACAACTGGCAAGAGAACAAATGCCAGCTATTTGTGCTGACACCTGAGTGCACTCATAGACCCACAGAGCTTATTGCAGGAGGAGGAAAATTCATGAGCTTCTGAAATGAGGAAGACAAGCTGTTTGTAAGCACAGTAGAGAGGGAAGGTGCGAATTCAGAAGTATGGCTAAGAAACCCTTGCAGAAATGGCCTGTATGTCACACAAAAGCGCCTGCAGTAATGGGAAAATGAGAGAGCAGGTCCATCAAAGCATGAAGCTAGAGGGGTCTGCACACTAATCTGAGCTGCAAATTCAAGCCCTTTGCTGGTCCTGACTGTAAAGTGTGTGGGCAGGGTATTAGATCAGCAGGTGAAGTGGTACCTTCAGACAGCCAGTGTACATGCTGTGTCCAACAGCATCACTCTGGGGTAGCTTAGTAACACTCTGGGCTGTGCTCAGAGTCCTTTGTGCTCTGGAGGCAGAGGGCTGGGGACTCCCTAAACATGCTCGACACTGCTTTCCCCCCCAGAAAAAAGGGACTCTCTCAAGCTGCTGTAGCACAAATCCATTTGGACTTGCTCTGGAGACGTATTTGAACAAATGGAGAAAATAATAACAGCTGTGACAGAAAGCTGAATAGACTGATGCTCATGGTATGTGCTACTGCCAAGTGGCACACAAGACAAATTGTAGGAAGGAAAGGGACCATTCAAAACCATCCTTCAAAAAAAACAACAAACCCAACAAACAACAGAAGACCTTGAAGTAGTGAAGGGAATCATGAAAGTAAATGTGCAACACAAGAAGCAAAGAAACAGAAACTGGCATCTCTGTTTCATGATAAGATTTGGCTTTTGTTTGCTTTTGCTGTTGCTCCTACATAATTCATTGATGACTGAGGCAGGTTGTAGGACAGTGCCTACTGAATGAGCAGCAAAGAATAATTTATAATGTCTGAGGCTGCCACAGTCTGGCCTCACTATACTTTTTTAAGTTTGTTGGACTTGGCAGGAAGTGATGCTTGGGAATACATGGCAGCTTCCTGCACTTCATAGTTTTATAGTACAAACCACATAGCCTGAATGTCAGCTCATTCAGGAAGAGGGCTGCATACATTAGTCCTGTGTGCTAGCGTCCTATGGTGTGATACCCGTGATGAGATCTCGCAGCAAGAGGACAAAAGGACCACTTATCACTCCTGATACTTATTAAAAAGGTTAAGCTGACTCCTACGTATAAATGTATTCTCTATCAAACAGAAAACAAAGCCAGCTCTCAACACAGTGCCACCCACACAGGCCAGCTGTGTCCTGGAGCAATAGGAGTGGAAGGCAATGCAACCCCTCCTCTGTAACATGAACTCAAACTGTAAAAGCACCAGCCCTGATGAAGTATGTTCCTGATAAAGTTAGACTGACAAACATCAAAAGTTTGATTCTGCTTCCATTAAGTCTCAGTTTGGCAAATGGTTTAAACAGGGCAAGCCTGAGTTTCAGCTTGTTTTACACACATTACTAAGCAGCCATTGTCCATATGTGGAGATGGCTCAAGGTAATAATCAACCACAGATGGGAGCCGCACTGCTAACATGGGATCTCCCACTCATTGTCATTTCTCAACGACAATCAGTCTGTTCAGGTGGGAGTATACTGCTGTACTTGAACATCCACAGATTTTCAATTAATGAACCCAAGCAAGCTTTCTTAGCGACAGATTATGGCTTGAAATCATATACATAGTAAAACTCAATGTGAGATTGCTTAATCCCTTCAATATGGTAGGTAAAGGAGGTAAAATGTTGTATATGGCAATTTGAAGTGTCTCTGTATGCAAAAGAAACATCAGAACCCAAATCTTTGTGTGAGTTAAAATCCTGATGTTAACGGGATACCCATGGGAAGTTCTGCGAGTTTCCTTTAGCAAGAACAGAACTACTAAATAGGTCAAAGTTTTCACTTAAAACAGGTCAGTATGTCAAAGTCACAAAGCAAAGTCTGGGATAAAACAAAAGCAGAAGAAAATGCCCCTTCTATTAATTTTTACGAACTGCATATTGGGTTTTTGAACCGTTCACCAGCCATCTACAAAAGAAGCTATGGGCTGACTACAACAACTAAACTTGAAAGGAGAAGACATTCCTTTGTAGTTCACATTTGTTGCCTTTGAAGTCACTGTGAATCTTACCAGTGACTTCAATGAGACTAGCTTTATATTAGTCATTGTTTTATCCCTACTCCTTTCAAAATTCCACACAATAACATTTCTTTTCATTGTAATTCTGACAGAGCAATTAGGCTCCAGTTCGCACCTGCACCCAACTTTTTTCTTCGCAGAGAATACTTTGAGCTCCTCTTCTCTGAACAGAATGATGAGATCTGAATTAACAGTGTCTCTCTGCTCTATCCAGTGCCTCTGTTTTTCATGACCTGCTGAAGAACATGAAATTCTTCAAGGCTTGCAGAGTTGAGCTTTGGTTAAGACCAGCTGCAGGTTTCACCTGCGGCTTTATGAGGGTGCTTAACAGAAAAGGAAAAGCTTATTCTTATCAGGGTGATCAAGCAATATCAGAATGACAGAATGTGGATTAAAGCACAATCATTTCCAGATGCATTCATAGCGTGTTTTTAGTCCCAAGTGCAGAAGATGAACTGCATTCCCAGTGTAACAAGCTATGAAATACTGCATGATTTCATAGAAATAAAGCAATTTTGTATATATAAAAATGTTTGTTGTTTTTTTTTAATAATAAAGCATTTTCATTCTATCCTTAATATATAAACCAGATACAGACACACCACAAATACTTGCTGAGAAAACATCCCTCCAAGGCACCCCAATCTCATCTTTCTGGTGTTGAAATGTGCAAGCTTCAGAGCTTTGTTTACACAATTCTCAAGTCCACAACACCCATCCAGAACCCTGTCCCACACTGGGCTACAACCGGACCATCCCCTGCTCCCTTGCTAGTGCCTTTTCAGCATGTGGTTGAGCAAAAGCACCCAGAAGAAACAAATTTCCCAAGGTTTGCTTGTAGAGCTGCTCCCTCTCACCCACCTGTGGGGAAGCTGAATACCAAGAGACAGCCTTGAAGAGAAAAGCTTGGCTGCTTCCGAAACCTCCAGCTACACCACCACCCCTGGAAATCCAGGAATGGAAAAGATGAGGAGAGCCCAAGGCAGAGCCCACCTCAGCTCTAGTCAGAACAAAACCCGGCTCTTTGGAGCCCTTTTGGGCAGTGGGGTTACATAAACAACAGCACCAGACATTCATCATACAGAACAGTGAAGATTTTTTGTGAGATACTCATTTCACACAGCTGCTGCACAGAGGGAATCTGCAACACGGAGCGGCTTGTTTGGGAAGGGTAACTAATGGGATTAGTATCATTTACTCCCAGTCTTCTTTATGCGATTTGTATTTTGCTAAGCACTTCGAAGCCGCCGCTCTCTCCCTGACTGCTGCATGGTTTTACTTCGCAACAGTGGCAGGGGAGCCCCACAGAGGAATACACCCTGTGGAGCTAGACCTGATATGAAACCCATACACAAGTAACACAGTGGTTTCCTTCAGCAAAAACACCCAATTCCCAAGACAAGAAAGAGCACCAGTGATTTCAAAAGACAAAGTTTATTTTTTTTTTTCCTAGCTTTCTGTTGCATTTGTTACAGGACAAGACCATGGGATTTATTTATCTTTGTTTTGCCACTGAATTTTCAAATGGCTGGATAAATCAAAGTGAATGGCTGTTGTCCTTTGAAATATTTATGAATCAGAGCTATTGAGGCACCAGGGGCAGTCCTGTGAAGTGATGCAAGGGGTAATTTTGTCCAGTTATTTCTTAAGGGCTTGATCCTGCCACAGATCTGCTGTTCTTACCCAAGTGCCTGTACTGAATGCTATAGTCTCACTTTTTGGGTAAATCTTAACATGACCCACGTGCACAGAACCATGCACTAAAGTAGAAGACAAGGTGGTGTAAATGTGCAATTATGCTTTAGGATTTTTCTGTTACCTTAGACAGAGAACACAACAAAGTTCCTAAGCATAAGCTATAGACTTAAAGCTATTTACTGGATGGTACAAAAACAGAGACATATATACAGGAGGAGCTACTTGCCATCAACACAGGAAGGTCTGTTTCTTGTAGTCCCAGCCACTTTCCCAGGTAGACAGGAGCATTTTACTGTTTGTGATCTTTCCTCAATTCGATTCTTATTACAGCATCTGTGTGCTGCTATAACTTCACACGTTCCTCCTTCTGGCAAAAAAAAAAGAAAGAAGAAAAAAAGAAGAAAAAGAATAAAAGAATATTGGCACTCTGGTTAGGAAGAGCAGCAGTGTCTAAACAAAGCACCCAGGCATACTCCTGTTTGCGTCTCTGCACAGCTTCTATACAGGTGGGCTTACGTTATTTTTCCCATTATGTTTGCTCCTGCATAAGCTAGGTGCTACCATACTGCAGTTTTAATAGGAAATGTAGATAAATGTCTCTCTACAGTAGCTATAGTTTGCCTGTCTTATATTAGAATCGTCTCTGTCATCGGCAGAATTTTTGGCCTAAAAATGACTGTGTCAAAGTTTAGGCCTGAGGAAATGTAAGTAACATATTACAGAAAATGTGCAACAACTGTTGGCTGATTTTATGCTTGTAATATTGGAGGCCTCTTCCCCCAAATATTCTATTGTACAAGACAGGGGCTAAGGAATCCTTGTAAAAGTGAGATTTTGCTCCAAATACTTGATTTTATGCCAGTACTCAGCCCTTAGGGAACAACAATCAGCCTCTCTGAATTACAGGATGGTCCAACAACACTTCCCTTTGCTACCTCTCTCACTAAATATGGCAGTTTTAAGGCAGAAAACATTCCCATTGTGTGCAAGATCACCAGGCTTAATTTGTCTGTATTTGTTCTTTGTGAACATTTGCAATAGTTTGGTTAGATGGAGAACACAAAGGAGCGATAGACAGATAGACAGTGGCTTAGGGTTTATGAATACTTGATGTTTGTAGCATATGCTATGCACAGAAACAAAGCGTCAAGTGTATTATTTCCATTCCCCTTAGCAGTGCAGGGCAAGGAGATGAGAAGCCACATCGGGCTAATGCACTGCCCAAGTAATTTCCCAGTTCCTCAGTTCAGATTGTATTTAGCTCATAATCACCAAGTATTTATAGCGCTAGTCCGTTCCCCACAGATATTTGGCTACTTTATGAAACTGCAGTATAAATTGGGCAGGATTTGTTTAAACTCAGTGCAAAGCGTCATGCACAGCCTACTGAAAAACACGATGTGTAAGAAGGTTTTCTTTATGCCACTATGAAATGTTAACTCTACACTGCTTTTACTATAGCATAAAAACCTTTATTCCTGTCTTTGGCTTTCACTCTTTTTGAAGCTACTGTGAGAGCTCTTGAATACTTCCATAACCCTGTATCCAGGTCAGAGAATAAGCAGTATGGAGGTACTGATAAACATGTGGCTCTGAACAAGGGATGCTGGAAAAGGTCTGGGAGTCCAGTGGCATCTCCATGCTCAGAAGCGAGTCCTGTTACCTGGTGACTCTACAAATGTGACATTTCTTGGTGAAACACTGGGCTGGATGGACAGGGAGGAATCCCCCTTGACTCTATGCAGTTAAGGTCATATGGTGGTGTGCATTAAGTTGTACCCACAGTATTAAGTGGTACAACTATAAATGAACAGGAACACCATGAAGTGTGGAAATGATGTAGAATATTAAACTTTTAAACCACTCACCTTCCAGGGTGAGTCAGTAGATGAAAGCCTGTGAACTTCCATTAGGGTAAATGAGCTTAGGTGGTGGGGTTAAGCACTGATGAGTTTGCAACCATGAGACAAGACCAACTCTGCAGCAAATATTTAACTCATCTGGAGAGAAATGCTGCTTCATGTATTAGTTATTAGGTGCATTTGGCCTGCTTTTTGAAAGCCAGTGGGTGACAGAGAAGAGAGATCCCAACAATTCAGAAAGCCATCATCTGACAAATGGTCTTTTAAGTGTCTCTTAGGAGTAAGAGGAATTGTGATAATCAACTCAGCCCTCACTGGTTGCATTTTTCTACGAAGTAATTCCTCAGATAAAATCCCTGTTCCCCCATCCAAATCATATTGAAAGCAAGGAAAATGGTCTCACTGGTTTAATTCATCTTACAGTCATGCCCTAAGAGAAGAAAGATTTGTGATTTTATTGATTGTAACCTCAACAATAAAGTATGCAGTAATAAGCATTTCTAATTTTAGACTACACAGACTGTGTGGTAAATACCTGTGAATAAGCTAAATGCTTAATTTTCTCTATTAATTTGTTGTATGAGTACTAATAACCACATCAGCTAAGTCTTGCTTATTTGGTTAACTATGCAAAATAAGGGGTTGTGGTGAATGAGCTTCATAACACCTTTAACTGTTACGTGGAAGCTCAAGGTGCTGCAGCAATAAAGAATTTAACCCAAAGGGTGTAGTTGCTTAAGAGTGAAAAAACAATGAAACTATAAAAGCAATGAAAAAACCACTAGACAGTTAAGTACGTTAATTGAAACTTTCATCTGCATGAGCTATAACTGTAATCCACATGATAATAAGAGAAAGACCCTTCCCAGTGCTGACACAGAAGAAAAAAGATACATTTCACATGGAAAAAGTTCTGAATGTTACACACAGAGTTTTCCTGGAAAATGTGATAAGTATGAGCAGACTTTTCATTAGCCTATGAGTGACTACTGGATAGCATTGCATGGAATGTGTTTTGCTGGTACCTATTGTACCAGCCATGCATACACACGTTAGACTTATTAGAAGCCACATACAAAATGGGAATAGATAGACAGAGGTATCCAGACAAATTCAGATGGAAACAGTGAGAATAGGGAAAAAAAATATTGAAAAATCATGCCCTTGATTATGCTGTCCACAGAAATATAAATATATAAGAAATATACTAGGGGGTGGGGTGGGGTTTCCAATTTGAATTTCTATTTCGGCTGTACAAATGAGGAAACAAGTTAGAGCAGGGAGGGGAACGTGAATCAATCTTCAGTTTCCACTGAAAAGAGATTCAACATGTTCAGATATATATGTGAAGTACCTTTTTATTCTGTGGTTTTCAGCTATTTCCTATAATTGGGGGGGGGGGGGGTGGGGGGGTGGCGGGGGGCACCAAGAAATGCTGCAATACCAACATCTGAGGGCTTCTGCTCCTGAGCCAGTGATGTTTCTTCTCAGTGATTCTTCTAGGGGAGACCCAGTGAGATGTTACAATGCTGGGAGCCCTGAAAAACTATGAATTATTGACCTGATAGGCTGTGAGTGCAGCAAAAGTTTGAATCATTGTCACCAAACCCAGAAATATCTTTTTTTGGAAGTTTATGGTCTATTGAGCTAAGGTAGCTTCTGGCTTTGTTTCTACAATAACAGCCTCACCTAAGTCATTCAAGTCAAAAGGGGATTTGCCATTAATCTTAAAAGCAGAAGAAAGGGCTCTAAAATCCTCCAAGCAAGTGTCTTCTGAATGTTTTGTTGACAGTTACATTTCATGGAGTGCCTTCTTTAGCTACCTGGCAAGAAAACAGCTTATGTTTTCTTAATTCCCTGCTGCCCCAAAAACATCCAAAAAAAAACCCTGGAAATGGAATAGGAACTTGCAAATCAGGAAAAGCTTTGCTCTTTCTACCAGGAGCTTCAGAGATGAATGAAAATGCCCCAACATGACTTATACCCTCTTCACACTAAACATTACCAGGACTTGATAATAAGAACAGCTGATCCTTCCTGAGCACTCAGTTCACAGGATACCCTCAGCTTTGCATGAAGCAAATGTGATGCCTGCCAAAGCAAGAGGGACAGAATTGGCTGCTGGGGAGGATGCTGGGCTGTTGAAGATGGAAACTATCTGCGGCATTCCAATTTTGCTCATGTCTTCTAGCTTTCCAGAAGTCTTTGTTCTGCATAGTCTTAAAATATGAAACTGCAGAAATAATACCTCATTCTCGCTGTAAAACAGGAACAACTGTTACTCTTCCAAATGGTTTAATTCTACTTGAAGGAGACTAAACTCCTGAAATCGTGTTCATGTTTGTCTCTGTTACAAAGCCACCTTGAGCTTACACACTGCAGACTGAGATATTTTATCATTAGTATGAGACTACTGTGGGTGGCTGTGATTTAAAATATCTAATCACCTGCAGGGTCTGAGTGTGGGCCAGACAGAAGCCAAAAAGCCATCTTCTAGTCATCTCTTTGTTTTATACCTCTAGCTGAGAGGTAATAATAAAAGCATATTTTGCACTTCAAAATTATAACTCGCCTCTGTATTCTAGCCAAGCCTGAACTTATCAGTAAACAAACATAAAAAAGGCAAACAGCAGTACTGATTTGTGTTATACATTGTGGAAGTCATTAACTATGACTCAGGTAGCAAAACTTATACGTTCTCTCTTTGACAGTGATGACAATTTAATAGTATTTGACTCTGCTGAGTTACATGGAGCATCCTGCAGCAATGAGAGAGGTTGTTTATCAAAATGATAAACATGTTTTCATTTCCTCCTTGGCTGCATGTATGTGATCAGAAGTCTAAGGCCATCAAGAATTCACTTACTCTGGCCACCAGACAGACATTAAGCTATTCAGGACCATCTGTGCCTGAAATGAGTTCCACTTAATGGACCTTCCTAGGGCAGGTCAGTCATAATGAATGCATGTGTGCATGAATGCATGAGCGAAGCACTGCTTAGGTGAGACTTCTTGAGTTGTTTGGTGGAGGCATAGACAGCTGATAGATAAGATATGCCTTTCTTTTGGGGGTCATACGCCCAGTGATTTTAGAATTCAGATCCTCTGTTAGATTTCGTTTCTACCTCATTGTCGATGCACCATGCAACCTAATCCAGTTGAAGGTTGTTGTAAGAACTTGTTTGTATTTCTTGCAAAAAATAGCGAAACTCAAACAACTTCATAAGATTTGATGGTCAGATTCTGCCTTCTATTACACCATAAGCAATGTACCACAGGAACACAAGCAAAGGAAATCATACGGGCCAATTTTATCACCATTTACAGAAGTTCATTAGGACTATTACTAGTTTTGATAGCTCTGTTTATTGACACAGCTTTACACATTACTAGAGAGTCAATGTTCCACTGTTGTTATCCTGGTTAGGGCTGCATACCCATATGTTATTCTGTAAGTGCATAAGTATATGCAGATGTTGCTAGACTTAGGAGATCAGAGAAAACT